ACTTATTAACACATTCAACTTCAATCGACACTGACATAGTATGATAGTTACATTAAAGGACTTTTGCACTAACTAGTGCAATTTCTAACATCATGAGATAATACCAACTTCTGAAGAAAGAAAGACGAAATTTGCAGTATAAAATGATGTCGTCATTCTATTTCACTGGTTCTCATCAGCTACCATAGACTACCTGAAATTACAATGGTTATATAAATGATAATAACAAACTTTAATGTTTGAGTGGTAGTATAGAAGAGATACTATAAAATTAACGCATCCAAAATAAAAGTATTAGAATTTTTTTAGTTTAAGTTTTCATCATCAATTTATACGCTTCTAAAGTTGAAAAGAGGTGGAAGGGGTAAGACAGGAAACAGTGTTAGCTTGTAGATTCACATAGCAACTCAAGCTAACCTGTGAAATAGAATGATGATATCATTTTACACTGCAAATTTCGTCTTCCTTTCTTTATCAAAATTTATCAAGGGAACCAAATGTATGGAATACCAACTTCGTTAATAATTAATTACTCACAAGATCCTCCTCTGTTGAGTAGTGGCAAGTACGAAGCATGCACACAATACTCTACAAGACATTAGAGCCTTCCAAGTTGTACATATTGGCCCTATTGGCGAGTTCCATATATATATATATATATATATATATATATATATATATATATATATGAGACTTAAGTCCAGAGTTTCCCGACAGTTACTTCTTGTCATCTAGCAACAATACCTACTAATTTATTCTGAAGAATGACGCTTTACAAACAGTTTAAGCCATATTTTTTTAGTACATATAGAAAAATTCAGTAAATTTAGCGAAAAAACATGTTTCTATATTTAAGGTGAACTTAAAATTTTTAGTTTCTTTATTGCCAAGTTATTCATTTATCGACTATAAAATACGACTTTCTAGTCAAAATGTTAAGCATGAGTCATGAAAAATGACAATGACAACGACAATAAATGTAGAGGTCAAAGGTCAAATGTTAAGACATGACATTCCATTATGTTGACAAGATGTAGTGTGAATGTGAGAGCCATACTGAAGGAGACTAAAAGTCGATGAGTAATACCATAGTATAATTGGTTTATTGAACCAACATTACAGTTGGAACGATAGTTGATAACCAACAGAGAGCACTAAACACTTGTTTCATCTCACGACTTCGCTGCCAAAGGTTGAAATAGAGACTTTCTGGTTATGAGGCCAAACTCATTGAATATTCAGCAATTTTGTGACTCCTCAATTCTAACTCTGTCAACGTATGACATAGCTCTGCCCTATCGATTGCTTTGATGTGTATCCATTTCACCTTAACACCTGGTGGACCCCTTTTGTCACGACTTACCACTGCAGCTTCGGAATAGCCATCGAGTATCCACCAGTGATCTCGTGACCAATACTGAGATTAGACAATTTTGGGGGATTTTCAATCGATTTCATCTGTCAGATTTTCGTCACGAACTAACATGAATTAGTCAGGTTATTGTGTACTGCTGAAGAGTCCCAAACTAGGACGATACAGCTGTCCAGTACTTCTAGGTTTTCCAATGGTTCTCTAATCAATATCAGCTCATGATGAAATCCTCCATCCAATCCAACAATATCCCTACAAACCTAATTCCTATTGCATTTATTTTCAGTTGATTCAATAGATAAACCTTCCCAGTTTTCAATCTTTCCTTCCATCCTGTTACAGTAGATTTGAAGGCAAGAAGTCTGGGATAAGTTTCAACTATAGTACACTAAATGCAATGGAATAGACAACCATACAACAGGATGTGACAACGTTAATTGTTTTAAAACCTAATGTAATAGCGTGAAAAACAGAGAGAGAGAGGGGATGGTGACTGAAGCTTTATATTGATCGAATCAGCTGAGAATTCGTACAGCGGAAATGGGTCAACACCTGTCCACCTGAAAATCTGGAAAATTGTGCCTGCTCTGTGACAAACGAGAAGGAAGACTGGGAACTACAAAACTGATGTTTCAACGTTGTGTATGGCACCAAGTGATAATGTGTATCAGAACAAGAGTAAATTGTCTTCGGTATTTCAATATTTCAAGTTTGGTCACGGGTTGATGTCAGTTAGAGGACCATTCAAAATAACGGAGTAGTGGATAACTGTTTCCTCCCATATTGAGACTGTTCATCAGTTCACTCCCACCGAGGTATGAACTTAGGCCTTTCCGTTACAATGCCAGCTAATACACCATTCAGTCACTGGAACCAGATCCAGTGTCCAGATCGTGAATTACAACTTCGGCGAAATTCGCGACACATATAGAGCAACCGCCAGCCAATGTCATTTGACGAGTAACTCTTCTCTTACCTGACTTGGTGTACTGTACTAGTTACAACTTCTCACTAGAATTTCAGGTAAATTTCTGTATAAAGTCATTGTCTGACACTGACTGACTGGCCATTGTGCTATATGTGTCGCGAAATGACAGAAGTTGGAATTCATGGGCCATCAGATTCCTTCCGAAAGTCGGAATGCTCTACGAGCTGGCTTCGATCCTCCGTAGGTGCGTACTGCTGTCCAGTACTCCTTGTTAGTTCCCAAAGATTCTGTAACTGACATCAATCCGTGAGCAAACCTTAGACAAACCAAATCCCTACGAACTAACTCTTGAAAATACATTCAGTAGACAAATTAATAGGGAACTGCATACTGTCACAATGTCCCATTTCTACATATTCGACCTGGCTGTGAATGTGGTGCATTTTAGTGTTATGAAACAAGTCTAACTATTAACGTCTCATAAATTCGTAGGGATTTTGACTAGTTTTAGTGAAGCTTTCTTCAAGAACTGACGTCCCTCAAAAATCCATCGAGAAATAAAAACCATGTGGATGAGAGTTTTAGCGCAGTTCGAGATTCTTCTGATGTGAACACTAACGATACTATTAAAGGTCAGTGCCATGACTGCCCACTTATATTGCATACTGTATGCAGCCTGTTTATGTCACTTGGTCACCTAAATTTCCATCCAAGATAGTTCATCAAGTTCGCTCCAGTTCTCATTGTTTTTGATGTGGTTGTGTCCGCTGAGCTGGATAGTTAATTTGCTAAGCTTTCATCACCTTACTAGGCGACATCTTCAGCACATACTTCAATTTGAAGTGAGCTTTTAGATTTCTCCACGAGATTATTAATCATCCTTCCTGATGACCTTGAACGTGATTGGTTGTCTTGTGTCCACTTCCAAGGTCACCAGGAAGGATGATTAATAAACTCGTGGAGAAATCTAAAAGCTCACTTCAAATTGAAGTATGTGCTGAAGATGTTGCCTAGTAAGGCGATGAAAGCTTCGCAAATAATCTATCCAGCTCAGAGAACACAACCACACCAAAATCATCCACCTGAGCTACAAATCTTCTCCATCATATCTAGTTCTCATTGTTTTGGTCGTTCAGTTATGATCGCAATATGTACTCACTCACATACACACACATTTTTAACCGGCTTTCAACCTACTTTTAAGCATTTCCCAAAGGAGACAAAGAAAAAAATGTATCATGAAGAGCTGGTTTTAGCCCCACATGGAACAGTAGCGCGTCACGCGATATACGATGTATGGATTACTGCTTTACTTGAAGATCCTGCATGAGGAGTGAATATTGCGCAATAAAGTGAACTGATAATTCTATGCAGTGTGTAAACATTTTGTTCAGAATATAGCTGTTATCGTTAAAAACAGTGCTAGAGCTAGAGAACTATTAGAAGACAGCAAGTACTGGAAAACCCCTTCATCCTAGTTCGGGGCTCATCAGCAGTACACACCCACCGGGGTTCAAACACAGGAACTTCTGATTATAAGACAAACTTGGAGACCAGTCAGCGACTGTGAGCCTATTCTATGGCCCTTGAATTCTAACTTCTAATAATTCATGGGGTCCACGCTGTAGGGAGTGGAGACAAATACTCCCCAGTGACATTGGCTGGTGGTCGCACATAAATCACGAATTGGCAGAAGTTGGAATTCAAAGATTCTCCATGGGACCGGATCCCACTGGTTGAATGGTCAAGACAAAATACATTCGGAAATAATATTGTAACGACAGAAGGCAAGAGTCAGGCAACAGATCATTTATTAAGGAAATCAACGCATATTTATCTATTTCATGTACAGTACTATGGATATTTAAGCAAACAAACACAGTCTTCCGATTGGTTGTTTCTCACGTAAAGTTAATCTTTCATCTCTTTGTGACTGTTTCTTGAATGTCAAATCCTCTATATGTTAACTGCATCCGCCTACGCAAAGTTTGCTGTGGTCGGTTTTGAATCAATCTTTGCTCACATTTTCTCACGACAAATCTTGGGAACGTAAATATTGACGTAAATTACTGTCTACCAATTTGGCTAGTAGACAGCTCTCACCACAATATTAGTGTTATCAATAAAATACATTAAGACGGGAATGGAAATAAGATGTTTTTACAGTAAAAAATAAGTAACTTGTTCAAATGTTGTAATGTGTGTGAATTGAATACATTTTAACATTATTTTTTATTATTCTCCGACTTGACTGGTAGTAATAATAGCTTCCATATCTCTGGTATTCGTGATGATGAGTAACTTCTATTGCATGTGTTAGGTGTAGACTGAATGAAGCAGGCAATAATCAACCTCTTTCTCTTCACCTACCTATTGGACTTTTTAGAATTTTGACTCTTTCCCACCCACCCTAATATGTGGTTGTGTATTAATACATGCAGTGCATGTAGTGCTGAGTTGTTTTTTTCTAAATGACTTATCTTCGTAGTATCAATCATTCTAACCTTCGCTAAATTCTTATGTTCTGATAGGCCATGCGACTACTCCAATATAGATAAGATTTTATTTTGATAAATCACACAGTGTTATACACCAGTATTAACTGATGACCAGGTTTCGAGTACAAACTATTGCTCATAAATTATTTAAATTAATCCCAGCGTGTAAAGAAAATCAAAACAAGATTTTTCGAACGTTTCGATGTGTAAGCCACAGCTTCTTCAGCAGATTTATTCGGATTTTTATTAGTCATCAAAATATATAGTCAAAAATTTTACATAAATTGAAGTCATTTTTTTTAATCAATCTGACTCGGCGCTCAAATTATTCCAGGAAGTTCGTAACACCTACGGCCTGGAAACCTATTGATATGACATATATTCTTTCCATTGATGAGCCTCTCATATGGAATGACCTGTACCTTTGACAAATAAGTCCATCGCAATGAAAACTGAAGGCAATATCAAGAAATCAGTTCAGGCGAGATTATTTATCTAACTGAGCTTATTGGTCATCTTGATTCAATAAGAAAATCAACGAATCAAGAAATAGGACTTATTTCAGAATAAAAGATGATACTACTGAATAATGTGAGTAGTATATGTTGAGATACGGTCGTTTTTGCATATATATATATATATATATATATATATCCAAAGTGATATATCATTATATTCTCCTCAATTCTCATTGGTTTAACCATTTCATTATATTAGGAAAGACATCTCCTCTATCCGTAACTTCACTTCAAAGCTGTACAGTTAGTTATTTGGGGGGCTTATATTAAACAATGTTGTTAATTGACAACCAACGTCACAGGCTATTATTATTGTTCCCTTGGGTTCCTAGTGGAACATACGGCTTCAACAACACATCTCCACTTTCTTATATTCTCTTCTGTCCGCTTCAGCTGGGTCCACGATCGACCATAATCCCTCATCTCTTCCTCACACGATCTCCCCCATATCACTCGCGTATTGACTACCCACTCGTCGATCAATTCCCATTCTGCTTCCACTTGAGGACCTGGCGCGCGGTGTCATTCGACGGTTTCCTCAATGTATGCCCGATCAATCCATCTCCATTTTCCCTTACATATTTGTTGAGCGACCAGCTCTTGGTTGGTTTGTTCCCACAGTTTCTTGCTACTTATTTTTTCTGGTGATTTGATCTTGAGTATAAAGCGAAGGTAGCTGTTGATGGAAGTCTGCAACCTGTTTGAAATCTTTTTCGTGACCTGCTGGCCAAGTCTCTAGCTCGTATAGAAGGATCGACTTAACATTGGTGTTGAAAATTCTAATCTTCTTCTTTATACTGACTGTGTGCAGAAGATTTCCAATCTGGTTTCAGGCTGATGAAGGCGTACTGTGCCTTTCCGATTCTGACTTTGACACCTTCATCCGTTCTGTCACCTATGGTTGAAACGATGCTTCCTGGATAATTGAAGGGAAGAAGTAACCTCTTTTAAATCTCTCCTTTTGACGGTGGTTGGTGCTGGTTGCCGTTATTGTTGCGGTCCGTTGGTTATCTTTATCACCTCCGTCTTCTCTGTGTTCACCTGTAGTCCTGTCTTCGATGCAGGCCGGCCTCTTCAGCCGGTATTTTGGTTTTCGCCTGCAAGTCTTTGAGTTTGTGTGACATTAAACATAAATCATCCACATACGAAATCCGGATCTTCTAGAGTATTCTTATCGGTTAGTGCAGTGTATTCCGGTGTTGTCGCTCCCAACTTACAGTCTTCCGCATAATCCAGTCCACCTCAGTCAGGAATATCATCGGTGGTAATAAACAGGCAGCCTTGTCTTAATCCTGTCTTTACTTCAAAGATTTTACTGAGTTTTCCGTCGTGGATCACCTGACAAGTGCCACTGTCATATAACTGGTGAATGAGGTTGATAAAGACCTAAGAACTTCACGCCGTAGCGTTGAACTAGCTTCCAAATTATTTCTCGGTCAACGCTGCGCTGTCGAGGGCCTTCTCGAAGTCGATGAAGTTGAGGTATAAGTTTGACTGATGCATAGAGTTGCGATTTGATCAGCACATGATTTGCCTTTCCAGAATCCAGCGTGTTTCAGATGGCTGGCGGAGTTTTTTATCCAGTGCATCCTATATTCTCTCCAGAATGGTGCGACTTAGTATTTTAATTGGCGTGGGTGGACAACAACATGATTCCACTCCAATTCTTGCAACATCAGGCGTAAGTCGCCCTTCTTTGGCACCTTGACGAGGTAGCCAACCTTTCTTCCAATCAGTAGGCACCTTTCCTTCCCTCCAAACAGGCTACTGTCAGTTAGTAATAAAAGTGTATGAGAAACAACAGTGCATGAAAAATATTGCGTAATCTTACACAATCAAGAGGGTTGGCAATTCAGGATGATAAAATTGATACTAAGGCCAGGATAGTTAAAGAGGCTGGATAAATGGTTTCTGAACACAAAGTTCAGATATCTCTTTATTGGATTGATTGAGCCTCAACTGCAAGAAGAAGATGGTGATGCAGGCGAAATCCTTTTGAAATGCTTGATCGTAGTTTATATTTGTGACTGTGAATAAAGTCTCTGGTGATACTGTGTGACCAGAAGTAATAGTGTAACAACAGAAGACAAGGGTCAGGCAACAAATCGTTTATTAAGGAAAATCAACACACATTTATAGATTTTATTGTACATTATTGTAGATTATTGTTAGTAGAAAATACAGTCTTTTGATTGGTGGTTTCTCACAGAAAGTTAACCTTGCATCTCTTTGTGGCTGTGTCACATCATCCATATGCTAACTGTATCCGCCTACGCAAAGCCTTTGTTCTCATTTTCTCACCACCAATATTGGGGACATAAACATTGACGTCAATTACTGTCTACCAACTTTGGCTAGCAGCCAGCTCTCACCACAATAGTGTTCTCCAGAATTGAGGTGTCCCAGTGTTCTGTGTTCTGCTTTTATCAACCATGCTGGCAATTGTTTATGGTTACGTCTAGACGATGTTCTGTTGTTACGATCTAAGTCCTTGGCTTCACAGTGGTAGGTGAATTGGTAAATACACACTGAAGTTACTTACCAACAGCAGCGTCTTATTGTCTGATGCCGGTTGGTGAATAAGAACATTTGCGAAAAAGTTGAAGCTTATAGATGTGAAAATGTTTTATCCATCTTCTTTTACTACTTCTGGCCTCAGTACAAATTCATTTTTTAATTTCTGGAATAGTTAGTTGTTTCTAAATAAATTTCGTGTAGTCCTTTAATTCTTGAATTTTATCTTTTTGACCAACTTTAAATCTTTTGTACTCTTGATATAAGGATAAAGAAAAACTTGAGCACTGTGGTGGTAGAGTATAACTCCATTATGGATAAAATTTTATTCTGATAAAATCACACACAGTGTATATGTTATTATAGTAATATTTACTGATGACCACGTTTCGAGCACAATTTATTGCTGCTATTCATAATCATATCAGAGCACTACTCACACAACTTTCTTACTTCATTTATATACATGAGTAAACAATGGTGATTAGACATTTGAATAAAATCAATATAAGATAAAGTACATTCGGATATAATAATATTAGTGTTATCAATAAAATACAATAAGATGGGAAATAAGATGTTTTTTAAAGTAAAAATAAGCAACTTGTGAGAATGTTATAATGTGAATTGAAATACATCTTAACACTATTTATTATCCTCCTCTGATTTGACTGACTGCTGGTAATAATATCTTCCATATCTCTGGTATTTACACTGAGTCATTTCTGTTGCATGTGTTGGGTGTAGACTCGATGAACCAAGCAGGATTCAGTAATCAATCTCTCTACCTCCACCTACCTATATTACTTTTTAGAATGTTAACCCTCTTCCACATTATTGTGTGGTTGTGTTAATGCATGCAGTGCAATGTAGTGCTGAGTTGTTTTTTCTAAATTACTTATCTTTGCGGGGTCAATCATTCTAACCTTAGCTAAATTCTTAAGTTCTGATAATGTCATTACTCCTGATCTATTATTTTGACCTATGTAGTTGACCATGCTCACAGTCACTGAAAGGTATTTTGTAAATTACATTATTTGTACTCTTGTATTCTATTAATTCTTTCTTAGTGAGTACTCATCGCTTAACTGACTTAGTTGTCAACCCTCTCCCTTCATTACGCAAGACTATTCTCAGTTTTTCAAGTGCTTTATTACTCATGCATTCGAATTCATTTTGTTGCTGACTTACAGTAACCTTTGACCTCTTCCGTCAATTAAGAATGTATGTATACATATATTTTTGATTCCTTTAAGTCCCCATTTGAACATAGGGCTTCAAGCTAGAACCTTGAAGTTTCGGTAGCAGTGGTGTTTATTTTTGCGGAATGGGGTTGCTAGCCTCATGCCCAGTCTACCCTCTTTGCAGATCTTGTTACTGGCTCAGAGAGGTAAAGGAGTGCCTCGTCTGCTGGGGGTCGAACCGTGAACCACGTGCATGGGTGGTGAGCATTCTACCACTGTGCCACCGATGCACATATGTATATACACCCCCTAAATAACAATACAGCCAAGTGAATCATTGGTCTGCCCAGATCGATTCTCCTAAAGACAGTACGTTCAGATTATTGGTGATTGATTTTAGGCATAAATAACTCAAGATAAGATTCAACTTCTTTCCTCCTAAACCTCAAATTCTGAATTTTATGTTATATAGTATCATGTTTACATTCCATACCTTATGAGTCCTAAGAAAATATGTCTCATTAGAGTATCAAAACTAATTTTCGCACCGTTATCTATTTTTGTTATGGAGCATTTGCTCATTGATGTAGACGCTTGAGATCCAACCAGTGAGTTGCAGTTTTTAATGTTGTCTCAACTTTGCTGACTTTTGAGTAGCCAAGAGTTTCCACAAGCTATCAACCTATCAATCTATTTAAGTCACCTGGTAGTATTAAAATGCTTTTTTCTGCTTACCATGTAACAACAGAAGACAAGGGTCAGGCAACAAATCGTTTATTAAGGAAAATCAACACACATTTATAGATTTTATTGTACATTATTGTAGATTATTGTTAGTAGAAAATACAGTCTTTTGATTGGTGGTTTCTCACAGAAAGTTAACCTTGCATCTCTTTGTGGCTGTGTCACATCATCCATATGCTAACTGTATCCGCCTACGCAAAGCCTTTGTTCTCATTTTCTCACCACCAATATTGGGGACATAAACATTGACGTCAATTACTGTCTAGTAACTTTGGCTAGCAGCTAGCTCTCATCACAACCACACCTACAGTAGACGGCCAAGTTAAACTTTAAGCACCACTAACTACCAATCAGCGAATGACCTTGAATGGTCCAATGAGTTTCATTCAATTGAGCTTAAGGTTCTATTCTGCTTGATTCGAGTTAAATGCCTGCTCTAACGCAGTTGCGCTTGCAGTTTGGTGAGGATAAGATTTTCCAGTATTGCTTGAATGTAGGGCTGCATAGGAAGAGGAGAATTTGTTCATTTGGAGATGTTAAGAGTATAAAAAGCTTCAGCAGTTCGATTGATGGATATGTCCATTGTTGTATAATTTGTTTGAAACAAGTTAGGGTCAGGGAACATTTTTTGCCAGGTTCCATTAATCCTTGACCCAGATTTTGTATATTTTTAATTACTGGCTTTTATAACAATGTTTGAGACGTGCAGCTGCTGAAACTGAAAATAGCCTCGTTTCAACACTTTAGTGGTACCAGCAGTGCAGAGACATGGTGTCATGGAAAATGGAGAGAATTACTTCGTCGTGCACGTAGACGAAACTGTCTCATTCAAGAAAAAATACAGCCGTGGTCGTGAGTGAGCAAACAATGTTTGGGTGACACCTGTCTACTAAAAGGACTCGTCGAGAGAATGGCAGACAGAAAGTCAACTACCTTAGTACCTATTATCACTCGACTGGTGAAACAGGGATCTATAATACACACCGATGAGTGGAAAAGTTATAACTCCCTGTCATCCCTTGGATGTATTCATCACAGAGTGAACCATTCTAATGATTTCGTGGATCCGATTACAAGGACACAGACGAATTCTATAGAAGGCTTTTGGGGAAGGTTAAAAAACAGGATTACGGCCATTAATGGATCTCAGAGGGATGTCATTTATAGTCATTTAGATGAATATGTGTACAAAATGTGGTGTAACTTTCCAGTTGATAAACTGTGAGATGTTTTTATCACACATCAAAGAAACATGCCTTATGTAACAGTTTTATGCAGTTTTTATGCATTTTTTTCACAAATATATGTTTTCCGTAGCCAAAAATGCCTCTTTTATGTGACTGGTTCGTTGAAGATCATTCGTTGTTAATTTACTTTAATACCAATAGAAATTCGTGACTAGCAGGGTCCACCAAGCCAGATGTATGTATAAATATTCACTGATGATATTGGCTGGCACTTGTGCTGTATGTCACGAACTGGCGATTGGACCGGTTACCAGTGGCTGAATGATCTATGAGCTCGTCTTGTGATCGAGAGGTAGTGGGTTCAAACTGTGATGGATGGATACTCCTGAATAATCCTAGACTAAGATGTGAAACAGTTGTTCAATACTTCTTGTTTTCTCTCCAATGGTTCTCTGACTGATGTCAGCTTGTGGTCAAACCTGCAAATAAAAGTGTTGAGCAGATACGTCTTCCAGACTGACGAGTGCCAACAACCATCTGTTATTAACAGTTCAAAGTGCACCATGATGGTGAGCTGCCTAGAATGGTGGTCACATTGCATACTTGACTGATATAATTCAGTCTGTACCATAGATCAGACTAGACACATTACACTAGTTACTAACTAGTGTCCAATCAAAGTATCCGATGCAGTCACACCGGGAGGTCAGTCGCCAGCCTGAATACCTCACTGGTAACGTCTCTGACTGCAGCACTGGGTTACACTGGTTTGAATCTCACAGTGGACATGATTCCCTTGAAGGTTGCAGATACGTCTTGCTGACTGGTGAGTGCCAACTAGCACGAAACCTAGATCGAAGTCTTACTGCCGATTGCCTCCAGCCATCTAATATCAACATCCTCTGTTATTTTATTCAGTGTATATTTCGTCACGGAGGAAAGTTACTCAGAAAATCATTGACATTCAAGGCGTACTGGACAGTTGATTCGTCCTAGTTTGAGACTCTTTATCAGTATTCACTAGTACCCTGTGAAGGATATTCAGGTTTATGACCCTTTAGTCACTGGTTTGGTTCTTAATTACAATGTGAATTCTAACTTCTGTCATTTCTCAATATTACTCAAACCAATTCCATCGATATGCATTTTCTTCAGCCTGAAACAGTGGACTCATGGACTAATAAGGTTAAAACCTTATGCATAACATTTTGTTATTTCAGAGAATGTAAACAAACATGTTTTATATGCAGAGTTCAGGATTTAGCAGATGAATTACCATTGCCTCTGCGATGTGGAGAAGTTTGACCCGTACACTTTTAGCAAGATTGCCTTGTATTCTGTAGGTAACTTTGAAGTTTACTTCTGGTTTGACTTGGTGTCCAGAGTCGATCAAATGTTCAAGGATCGAGCTGCGAGGGCATCGGTTTTCTCCTTTATAAAACCATGAAGGTAAATGTTCGTTGACGCGTTTGGAGAGCGAACGCTGAGTACGGCCGATATACCTGGCTCCACACGAGCACGTAAATTGGTAGATGCACATAGATGAGGCCAACAGCGGTAGCTTATCCTTCACGTTCATGCGAATCATTGGTCTCGTGGAGAACGTCAGTCGTAATTCAGCTGCAACGAAGGTTATCTTCAATGAGCGGGAGAGCCGATTTCTCAGTATTTCTGTAGATTGGTCTCCACTGAACTGTAGGTTCATATAGAGAAGTCTTTTTGGAGCACTGGGTTTTAAGATTTAATAGTGTGAAATATTCCCATATCATGAATTAAAAGTCAATCTGAACGAAGAATATTCTTTTCAATACATCCTCCTCCTCGGGTTCTTACAATTATAAAATATAATGTAATATTTATTGTCGTTACAATAATGGCCAGTTTTTTAACGTATAATAACAGATTAGAAGTTATGGGGTGTCAAAATAAATAGTCGTATTTGTGTGACAAACGTGTTAGGCTGAAATCGATTACAAAATATTGTGAAATGGGAGACAATGGTAGTGATTAGTCAAAATAGATTTGTCGAGTGTGGGGTAGGAAATTTGGTAAGTCAGTTCAAGGTTATAAAAGGTATCAGGTGAGTGGCTAGTATAAAGTGGTATGTATTAAACAGGAGATAGTAAGACTGCAATCAGAAGTTCATCGTGAAATAACCAATATGTGAAATGAAACAGGTGGAGGCATATATTGAGAAAAGAGATGATATCACTAATAATAATAAGTCCGGATAGTAAAAATGGAAAACTCGATAGTATTGAGAGAATGTTTACATGAAGGGCATAAATTATGACGAATAATAATAATAACATTTGTAATAATAAGCAATGAAAAAAGTACGAAGAGGGTTAAGGGGAAGAAGTACTCTTCGTGAGAAGAAGAATCATCAATCCAAGTTTGGCCACGGTAGGAACAGCGTCTGGACGTGTTCTTTTTTGGATACAAAGTTCCGGTTTAGTCGATCTGATTGCAACATCTTCAGCTATGTATAGGAGACGTAAGCGAACTGTACGTGGTGGCGACTTCGGTATTCTATATATAACCCCGAAAGCTGTGTTGATATCGATGCTATGTCGAGTATCGACTAAGTGTAACAGGATCGAGCTTTTTATGCACTTAATTCCCACCCCCAAATGAACCAAGCTGGTAAATGTTCTCGAACCCGTAGATAAACCTGCCTAATCGTGAGCCCTATATAACTTGAACCACAGGAATAGTTGGATTGGTATATACATGATGAACAGCTAAGGTTAGGTAAGACATCTTTCAATTGCTGGGTGAACACTGGACGGCTACTGTAGGATAGGAACAGACGTGCGTAGTAGAAAGTTCTCTTTATCGTCCTGGTTAAACATTGCGATAGAATCTCCACAGGAGTATCTCCCCTGAATAGAAGACGTAAAAATAGAGGCTTTTTATCCACCGTTGTCAGTTCATATTTACGATTATTGTAACCTATGTTGGCTTTAATGAACTTCCGTTCTCGCCTAAAATGTCTCGGATGACCTGTAGTTCTTTTTCTACGGAACAAATGGACTATTTATTTTGACACCCCAGAATTACTAATCTGTTATTCTACTTTTAAGGAAAATGTATCCGCCGCATACTGGTCTTTATTGTAACGACAACAAATATTACATTATATTTTATAATTGTAAGAACCTGAGGAGGAGGATGTATTGAAAAGAATATTCTTCGTTCAGATTGACTTTTAAACCATGTTTTACATAAGGCATTTAATTTGTACATGTCTAATTCGAATTATTTCAATACTCCCGCCAAATTCGATTTATTTGTTTAAATGAACTAATTCAATTATTCATCTTCCAATGTTTTTGTTTATGTTATAACTTTCCTTTCTTTTAATTTTTCATTGTTCTAAGATCGAGAAAGAGGGAATGAAGTGTTAAATCCAAATGACAATAATAACAATGAATGGTCCTACGATGTCAATTCAGTACCCTGCTTATCATCCAATAAAGATGTCGGCATATATGATAAACGACAAAATATTCCGCAACATTCATCACGTAGTTCGTTGTATAAGATAAATGAAGCTGACAATGCATCAAGACATAATGACATAGAAAATAAACCAGGTAATTATTGAATATTTGATAATAATAATAGTAATAATAATAATAATCACTTTATTCCACAACAATAACAATTTACAGCATGGAATTTTCAGCGTTTCTTTTACATACTGCAGTGGTTTAGCTCTGTTTGTAATTATATAAATATATAAAATTTTAAAAATATTGATAGTTAATAGGGAAAAAAAAAATAAAAACCCCAACAAAATCACACCGTTGCTAGATCATAGTGAATAATAAATAAATAATATAACAAATCACACATGCAATAATATGCATCATTACATTTTATAGTTTAGTTAATGGTTTAAAAGTTGTAAAAGTTCTTTTCTGATATTCGTCTCTTCACACAATACTCGTGCCAAATATGGTACGGTCGAATTTTTATATTTTGTAGTACGAGCATAAATGTTTATGAAATTTCTTCTGGTCTTATCCGAAGAGATACAAGGAAACAATTGTGAATAAAGAGGATGTTCACTACCAGACAAGATAACTTTAGCTAAGTGTTTACAAGAAGCCTCAGGCTGGTCGGGGGTGGGTTCCTTGCGCTGCGGGTTGGGCACCTCTCCGAACACCTCTTGAAATGCTCCCATATGACCGGGCGTCTTACATAGCCTCTCCTGAGGAAGTCCTACTAACTACCTTCACGTGGCGGAGGTGTTTTTCACCAAAGTGAGAGGTCGAAAGCGGATGCCCGGCGCTCTTCACCGGGTTGACTGTCCATTGGATGACAGTCTAGGGGAGATGGCTAAACCCTGATTCCAAACCTCCAACGACTGGCGTATGAAGCTCACTGGAGCTCACCGGCAGACGTATGGACAAAGGGCTTGTTGGATGTCCTGGATGTCTGGCCCCATTCAAAAAGGCGTATGAACCGAACTCCGGTCACCGGATGCCAATGGATAGTGAACTCCCTACTGCACTCCTACTGCCTTGTAGGTCACACTTGGTTGTGTAAAGGCTAGAGCTGCACTCTCAAACAAAAGGGCGAGTGATTCTGGGGACATCACTCGTACCAAATTCCCATGAAACTTCATGAACTCTCTTCATCAGATCGCCGCGCCTGGGCAGCGATGATTCAAGATGTTCATGAAGCCGGCTCATCCTCCCGTAGGAGATAGCCGAAGTAAAGTAACTAAGTAAGTTTACAAGAATTCATATGCCTATTGACAACAGTGTCAGTTAGTTGAGTCAAAGGAATAGCACTGACCCTACTTACATCCTTCAATGTTCTTCATAGTATTATATGGTCTTTCTTGAGTAGCCCAGGGAAGAATAATGGAGAACAATAAAGAATGATGGGCAAAACACATGAATTAATAAATTGTATGAGAAGAGATTGGGTTATACCTGAGTGCCTCAACTTCTTTATGTAATAAGTCAGACGGAAAACTGTCTTAGAAACTATAAGAACATGAGACGACCAGCAAAGGTTTGAATAAATAAAAAGACGGTTACAGAGAAGAAGATTTTCAGTTCGACAAAGTCGCCGTCAACTAGGTAGCTGTACATTCGTACATTTATAATGACTGAATGGGAAAGTTCAAGAATAATTCCCATCAAGGGTCAAATTAATAAAATTACAATTAGGAATTAAAATGCCATAACAAACAGGTGTGGGGGCGGATAAAACTCAAACAAAGTAGCATCCTGATTATTAAGAAGATTGACATATTGTGCAATTGGATGTTAGAAATGTAGAAATAACAGAAATAGACAGAATGTTTGGATGAAAACGTGCATATACCATTTTACTTGCTAGTGCGGAGCTGAATACATCTGCCGTACCGTGCGCCAACTTGAAAAGCGCGCTCGTGAACACTATCCAGCCTGGCTAGTAGAAGGAGAACGAAAACGTGTACATAGTTCAGTGACAGAACATTTGGTCAATTCAGAACATTTAACGCCATTCGAAAAATCCTTCAAAATAACATACAAGATTCGAACAAACTTATCAAAGGGAGTAAAATGAAGACATCTTGGTATAGCCGAGACACTAGCCATTCAAAAGCTCAAATCCACACTACGTATCTAAAAGAGATACGTTCAACCCTTGTCCCTACCATGGCTATCATAAACAGGTGGTTCTTGCAATAGTGACTATCCCATCACCTTTCTTATTCAAACTTCCTGTTTATTCATGTTATTTTGAAGTTTTTCCTAGTCCCTATTTACACCACCATATTTTCATATCCGAACTTCCTGTCTATTTTGTTATTTTATTATTTCCACATATTTAATCGCTAATTGCATAAACAATTATTCGTCACATTAGTTATGATCCCACTAGATTTTTTATCCAAATCTCCTGTATACTTTGTTATTTCTATATTTGTAACCCCCAATTGCACAATATGTCAATCTTCTCAATATCAGCATGCTACTTTGTTTGAGTTTTATCCGCCCCCCACCTGTTTATTATGGCATTTTACTTCCTAATTGTAATTTTATTAATTTGACCCTTAACCGGAAATTATTCTTGAACTTTCCCATTCATTCATTATAAATACACGAATGTACAGCTACCTAGTTGACGGTGACTTTGTCGAACTGAAAATTTTCTTCGCTGCAACTATCTTCTTATTATTCCCTATGATCAAATGTGTACATTCAGTATTGGAGTAATTGTTTAAAAAAATTAATGGTGTAGTTTCAAGTAGGATAATGAACTGACTTCAGTTGGAGAACCGTTGGAAACCACCAGACAGACAGCTTTTTCGTGCTGATCGGGGACTCTTCTCCCCAGTGCGCACCCAATTACCCCACCACTAAGTATCACACAAAGAACTGTCAAGGTTACAAAATTTAATCGTCGGCTCATGACTGCCAAACAATGTTATTGGCTAGCATTATTCCTCGGACGGAACTTGGTAAACCCCACTAGTCACTGGATTTCAGTGGTGCCCTTATTACTACTGTAACAACTGAAGACAAGGGCCAGGCAACAGATCGTTTATTACGGAAAATCAACACGTATTTATAGATTTTGATGTACATTATTGTAGGTTAATGTTAGTAGAAAATACAGTCTGTTGATTGGTTGTTTCTCACACAAAGTTAACCTTGCATCTCTTGTGGCTGTGTCAGTTCATCTATATGTTAACTGCATCCGCCTGTCCATGTTGACCTTGACCTCAGTTACTGTCAACCAATTTGGCTAGCAACCATCTCTCACCACAACATGATTAATATTTGATACATAAACATTGACCTCAACTATTGTCAACCAATTGGCTAGTAGACAGCTCTCACCACACTACTACTATTATTCTCTTGGGTTCCGAGACGACTAATGGGGCTTCAACAGCACATCCCCATTTTGTCCTGTTTTCTGAAGTGTTATTTAGCTGGCCCAATGACTGCCCATGAGCTGTCATTTTCTCCATATCACCCTCTGACCACCACCCAGTTCGTTGTTTCGCATTCGTGTTCCAGTCGATTTCTGGCACGCCATGTCTCCTTTATAGTCTCTTCAGCAGCGTTTGTTCTATCTGTCTCCATTTTCCTCAGGATATTTCTTGAGCAATAATTTCTTGGTTATATATGTCCAAACCAAGTTCACATTTAACAGTTTGAAAAAAATTGGGCACTGAATATATGATATTCATTATAATAAAGGTCCACTGAACACCAGTGAAATTATTAAGAGCATAAAATTTTGTCTAGAAAGTTATTATTTTACATTTAAAGGGATTTTATACAGGCAGACAAATGGTGTTGCTATGGGTTCACCAGTTTCCCCAATAGTAGCTGATCTTTTCATGAATAGATTCGAAGATAACATCTTTTCATGCATACTCACTCCTGAAATATGTTTAGGATATGTAGATGATACTTTTATAGTGTTAAAACGAGATCTACACATTCCATTCTTGGAGAAAATAAACAATTTATCTTCCAGAATCCAGTTTACTTCGGAAGCAGAATCAGACGTTGGTGAACTACCATTTCTAGACTGCCTGTCTAGTTAAGAGGAGGGAAAACGAACATTTCTGCATATCTATATTCAGGCAGAAAATCCACTCTAATAAATATTTAGACTTCGGATCATCACACCTCATTAGTGCAGAGGTATCAGTTGTTTCTAGTCTTCGTAGACGAGCACACTCTCTGATAACGGATGAGAAGGCAAAAGAAGAAGAAATATCAAACATTACTGAAACTCTCAAGCAAAACAACTGCCCAAAGAACTTCATCAACAAAATCAACACTGACATTAAGTATGGCCGAAAACGTATTCCGAAAACATGGACCTCAACAGTTGTCATTCCATATGGAGCGGAGATGTCAGACGACATCAGAAGAGTACTCAGTAAGCTCTACATCCCAGTTTTCTTCAAAGCAACAGACACACTGCGAATCAACCTTGTCCATATAAAAGACCAAATCTCTATCTAATTGTGTCTATAAAATAAAATGGTTGCTTGGAATGTGATACAATGTCCATTGGACAAACACCTCGAGAAATCAAAATCAGAAGAAATGAACACCGTAGACCCGATTCTGTTCGACCACCGAGAAATCCAGTTGAACTAGAAAAGCCTGGAAAATCATTAGCCATAGGTGACGGTCTACACGCTGTAGAATCAGGCCAAAAAATTGATTTTGACAATATTGAAATCGTCATCCAGAAAAAGCATTTCAGAAATCACAAAAAACGTCTAATATCAATGAGAAGCACTTCATATCAAATGGAATCCGAATTGTCTGAATAGGAATGATGGACTAAAACAGAATTTGACCCGGTTACAGCACCATCCACACTGCCTACTATGAAGTGACGAAATCAACACGAATGTGATAAGCAATTTCAATATGTAAACACACGCTGATTTTACAATTTTACACACTTATCAAATCCAACAATCTACACCTAGTTTTGTTATCTTTACCAATTGGCCAACTAGTCAACTCAAAATTGCTCCCATGCTGAGGAACGACGAATAGATTTGTTATGTATAAGTTGAGATTACAGCTTTGACGAAGCTATTAGCAGCACCATTAAATAGCGAAATCTCAGTAAAAACAGCAATATCGTTTTGTTTTTCATTCATTCATTGAGAAATACAAAATACCTTTATTGTAAGGTTCTTGGTTAGTTTCTTCCACTGCAGAGTTCCCCGTTGCTAATTCTTTCTGGCTGGCCATCTGGTCTTCAGTTTTGAGCCAGAAAAGTTAGCCGTTGATAAAAATCCGAAGAAGCCTGTTGGATGCTCTTTCCGTGATACACGCCGAGGGTTTGATCCATATAGGCGAAGTGACTGACTAAATACTCCGGCTGAAAATCAGACTTTTGTTGTTTGTGCTGGGTATATAAGATTTCTTAACTAATTTCAGGGTGATAAAAGTCTATCTTGTCTTTCCGTTTCTAGTACTGTCTGCCTGTAGTTGAAACGATGATGCCCATCTGGATGAGTGAAGGAAGAGAGTGACCTCTTTCAAATTTACTTCGTTGATACTGATTGTTTATAGTTGCGGATGATAAGCACCAATAATTTCCTAACTAAAGTCAATTCTTCATCAAATTTGGGATCAATCAAAGCCCTGGAATTCAAAACTTGATGATGGTAAACATAGTCACTCGTTAGAATACGATTGACCCAAAAACAGCTCTCAATTGATTGTATTCAAGGCGATGGTGTCTCTGTCAAAAATCGTTAAAAAGTCATAAATGCTTTGCTCAGTGACTTGTATATCGTAGTGTATATCATGTTCACTATTCAATGGAGCTACTTGTCGAAGCTCCAACTCTGTGCATCAGTGGTTGAGTGGTAGTATTCTCCCCAACCACCCATGTGGTGTAGGGTTCGATCCCCACCCAACGCAATCCAAAACATCACTAAGCCTTTAGTAAGGCTGATAAAGAGGGAAGGTTGGACATGAGACTAGCAATCCGACCCTGTACAATAAAACCACCACTACCGAAACTTCAAAGCTATAGCCAGAAGCCCTAAGTCACACTTAGAACGTAAGGGAATAAGAAGAAGGTCAGATAAAATCTATAAGAAGTTCTATTTTGGCTCATTTGATTGATGATAGCGGTCACCAAGTGGACAGAAGAAGTAGTGCCTTCAAAGTTATCTATCGCATTCCATATAGCTTTTCGAACGGAACTTGAAGCCGTCTTTTACACATAGCCGAAGCTATCAGAATTAATTCGAGAGAACAATCCTAGTGTCTTTGCATACACAAAGGAAGTTTGTTCTACCTTTGTCTCTCCCTTGGCCTGCGTAAATTCCAATCAATACACTCCCACCCTTTCTAATTTTCCATTTCCTTCGTACTTTTATGATATTTATTTAAACTCTGATCATCTTTCCACTTCACCTTTATTTGGTAGTACGTAACTTTTAAGATTTGACCTAATCATTTATTTATTGAATTGTCTACATATACACACATATTACTACCTTTGTTATTCTTATCGCCACCTGTATATTTATTATCATTATTTTGTTATCACTATAACCATCGTTGTTACTGACGTTCAAAACATTTACCACATTATTATTACTATTACTATTATTATCTGATCCACAAAATCACCGTCACTGGTTAAAATTTTTATATATAAATCTATGTAAATTAGAGAGTGAAGCCTGAAGAAGATCTAACTGAAAACAATATTGTTCTAATATTAAAAATGGGAATATTTAATGATAAGAAGAATCTGTTGGTTCTTGATCAATCAGAGTAAATTCCAGTATCAACGCTGCTTAAGATATGCTGTGATTATTAATAGCTTACCTATTTATCACCGTGGAAGGAAAAATAACCTTTAAGTTTCTCCTTATTGTGTAAGGTAATTTCTATTTACTGCTTTCACGAGATGAACGAGGGTATTTCTTGCAGAAGTGAAAGAAGAAATGCAAACCTCTAGCGCTTAAAACCGGATTTGTAGACATTCTGGTCTACCTAGGAGAGCTGAAAAATCCTGATCGTAAACACATGGCGTATACACAGGATTGGGAATCTAAACGGATTGAATGGCATGTGAACCTGTTTTGGGTTACCGGAAACCATAGGAATGCTACTCCGGTACTTCAAGTCAGAGGCTCGTCACAGGAGGTGGGCCACTTAAGACAACTACCCGCTTCAGTTTGGTCGTCCGAGTAGTATCCCGGCCGCCACACAAATCATGAGATTTTGTGTTGTGTATCTCTACGTGCCCAGACTGTACCTATAAAATAAGTTGTAACTACTTATAAACTGTTTAAATAGTATCTCAAATAACTGATAAATTTTTCTTCGTGAGCTTATAAATATTCTTGTGACTAGTTTTGTAGGGATCTGAATTCCTTTCAGTGTATATTTTGTCATGAATCAACACCACATAGGATACTATCGAAAAGCAAAGGGCACTGGACAGTTGTTTCGTCCTTCATCTTCATCAGTACGCACCCACCGGTGTTCGAACCCAGGACCTACTGGTTATAAGTCCCAAACTAGGCTGACGAGACAGCTGTCCAGTACTCCCAGCTGGTTTTCCAGTGGTTCTCTAACTGATGTCAGCTCATGATGAAATCCTGCATCCAATCAAACAAAATCTCTACAAAACCAATACTTCATAATGAATTACATTTCACATATTCAGCATAATATTCTGGTAGAAATTTATCACCTAATTGGTTTTAAAAAATATTCGAATTTCGCTTTTTCTATTAAAAGCTGATTGCATTCATGAATCGTGTGAAGCACTGCCATACTGTCAACAGCCACATAATCCAGTAGGAATGGATTGCCATGAAAAAATGCATCATTTAGAGAAGAATTATATACACAGTAGTTGGAATTGTTATCTCAATTCTTCACAAGTAAGTTTGCTGAATGACAGTGTGTTAATATATATATATATATATATATATATATATATATATATGAAGTAGTATATACTCCGAGGTATGGATTACTGACAGTAGAGTTGTCATTCGGTAAACAAGTATTCCATACAGCCGGTTGGCTTTGTTAGATTGAATAAAGAAAGAACGCGCATTATAATTGTTGTCTCCTTTGGTTTCTAGAGGAACACAGGACTTCAGCCGCACGTCTCCATGACGTTCGGTTCCCCACCAACGTTTTAACCTGGTTCCACGTCGGCTCACATGCTTTCATCTCCTCTTCGCATCACCTCCTGCTCCATGTCACCCTCGCAATGACGACCAACTCGCCTCTGCCCATCCGGATTCCACTCGAGCAATGGCCTGGCGTGTGATGTCACTCAGTTGATGGTTTGTTTTCTTAGAGTATGGCCAATCCACTTAACTCCATTTCTTCATGCATATTTATTGCACAGATGGTTCCTGCTGCGTTGGTCCATTCTTTCCCAGAGATTCCTGTTGCTGATCTTTTCTGGCCGGCTATCTGATCTTGAGTAGTATTGAACGAAGACAGCTGTTGATGAAAGTGCGTAATTTGTTCGAATTGCCCTTCGTGACGCGCCAAGTCTCTGATCCGTATAGTAAGTAGCACTGACTTCACATTGGATTTGAAAATCTGGATCTTATTTTTCATGTTGAGTGCTGTTGATCTTTCCAACACAGACTTGAGAGAAATGAAAGCTTATTTTGCTTTCCCGATCCTCTCTGCTTTGATATCCTCATCAGTTCCATCCACCTGTAGTTGAAATGGTGCTTCCCAGGTAGCTAGGTAGGTAGGTAGGTGAAGGAGGTTGCTCCTTTCATATTCCTCCCATTTATGCTGGTTGACTGTTGTCTTTTGTTGTTGCTGTTGCTGTTCCTCGCGGCCAGGAATCTTCATCATCACCTCTGTTTTCTCTATTTTCACCTGAAGTCCTATCTTCTCTGGATGCTTCTTCTGCCAATTTGTTGCTTTTCACTTGCATATCTTCCAGTCTGTGAGAAATCAGACTCATATCATCGGCCAAATTCAGATCCTCCAAGGTTTTGTATGGGTCCATTTTATGCCTCTCTCCTAGTTGCCTGCTGTCTACCTCATTATCCAGTCTACAGCAATAATGAAAATCATTGGATAATGAGAGCTGGCTCTCTTCAACTGCGTTGATCCCAAAAGAAATCAATTATAAGTTGCAAAAATTGTCCAAAAATACTCTTTACAATGACTTCGAGTTATAGATAGAAAGTATAGGCAACATAATACCAAAAATGATGTAAGAACACAAACTGTTCAGTGTCAAGGGAGTAACTATTTATAGAATAATTAGACAAAGGAGATGCGTTGAATTCGGAGTTCGCTTGGGAACAAGGACTGACTGGCAACAAAATACAACATAGCACAACAGAGTTAATTGATACATGTTATGGTTGAGAGTTCAGGAGAGTGGGTGGGGGTGAATAGTGAAGTAAAATTATGCGACAGATAAGATAATTTAATTTAATAGATTTAGAACCTTAATAGTGAGTCCAACTCAGTCAGTGTGTGAAAATCAAAAATCAAAATTGAGTGGAATGTTACGCAACAGAAAAAAATACAAAAGCACATAAACAAAACAATTACGGTTACTAAGGTAGTGAGAGATTATTCACACTATCTTTCCGTATGCATAGGTTGGGTCGAAGTCTTTTGATGGTAATGGCTTCAGCGAACTGAAGTAAGCATGCTTTCCTTCGTGTATTGATTATTTTTAAAGCCTGAACAATTTCCACTGTATGTCCCATGTCAATTAGGCTGCCTTTCATACGGAAATTTGTAGGGATATGCTCAGAGAATCTAGTAGACGCTCTCCTCTCAATCCTTCTTATGTACTTGCTGCCGCAAGTACATGCAGAGCAGGATATTTACCTACTTTTGACCGAGTTAACGAGCTTACCGTGTTGTAAAGTGGAATGAGTCTGGTGGCGATGATTGTTCTTTTCAATGCACCTTTAATTCTCTTTTTTCCATTCTTTTCGACACTTATTCTCCTTTGTATGCTAGATAGATAAAAACTGGTTTCTTTTCAAATACTCCGGCGTTTGAACTAGATGGTTTTTCCTTCCTATGTTTTGATATGAACTTTCGGATGTATGCATTCTCGATAAGGATATTTTTGATGCCTGCGAGTTCTTCTTCGATCTTGCCTTTTGATCACAACCTCCTAGCTCCTTTGAAGAGCATTTTCACCAGGCTCCGTTTGTAGCCAATTGGGCAAAAGCTTTGATAATTCAAGTTTCTTTCCTACAGATGAGTTTTTAAATCGTCCCATCATTTTTTCTTTTTATGCTGAGACCTACGAAATGGAGCTGATTGTCACGTTCATGATCCATTGTAAATTCAGTGTGAGGATGAGTCGCTTTGAGTTTTTCAAACATCTTGGATGCGCGATCCATATTATTGTGAACCACAAACGTGTCGTCAGCATGCATTTCCTCTATTCCTAGCTTCATTTGAGTGTGTTCAAGATAATCTGTGAATGTGTCAGCAAGAACAGGACCCAAAGGTGAACCGATAGCACCCCCTCCTTATCAGTTTGCTGGTACAGCTGTTTGTTGAATCGGAACTGAACATTCTTTGTATAAAGGAGTAGTCAATCACGAGTCCGAATAGCTCACAGGTAACATCTCTGACTTCAGCACTGGATGACCTGGGTTTGAATCTCAGAAGGGACATGAGTTCCTTCAAGGTTTCAGGTACGCCTTGCTGATTAGTACTAGCTAGCACAAAACCTGGGTCGAAGGCTTCCTACCGACTGCCTCCAACCATCTAATATCAATAAACTAGACTAATTTTAAGTGTGTCTGTAGGGAATTGAAACCGTACCTCTTGAATAGTTGGTGTGCTCTTTTATCAATGAATCACTAATACAAACTTTTTATTTAACTAATATGTTCACAAACATTTAGAAACTGATAAGTTTCTATTGTTTGGAATAGATTTAGGTTAACAGATTTCAGGAGAGATGAAAACATCGGTTATGTAATTACTGGAACCAATAGCCTTCAGATTTTGGATACCAACTATTACTAGGCAACAATTCAATTGTATGTGTGTACGTTTATACTTTCATTGACTGTTCCTTTTTTGGTTTGTTACAGATTGAATATTTACCAATACCAGACGCTAAAATGGAACCAATAGCTGAACGGTAAGTAAATAATTATTGCACTGTGAATTCTCAACTTTAAATTTTCAAGGGATTTTAATTCAAGTGAATATAAATTTCTTTACAAATCACTATCAGTCAGAGGAACATTCAAAATCATGGAAGGAATAGAGGGGTAGCTGCATACTGACAAAGAGTTGCAATCTAGGACGAAACGACTGTTCAACCCTTTATTGATTTTCAGTGATTCTCTAACACTGATATCGATTTTTCAAGATGTTCTACATGGTGACCGTGAATTTGTTTAAATTTAAAGGCAAAATATTTTTGATGGCAGGTTTGATGACGAGTTGACACCAGTTAGAGATTGACTGGCTGACTGACTGGTTTCAATACGGAACTTTGCATAGAAATGCAGCCTTTCAACTTGCCACTCTCCATGCAACACACAAAGCAAAAGAATAGAACAAAAGGAGGTTCAAAAGACAGGTAATAAACAGCAGTTTGGTGGGGAAAAATAGTAATATGGAAGAACAATAGAGTTTTATTGGATATGACAAATGACAAAGCGTGAATGCATCTGCAACATTAAGAACGATTTTCAACCGTATCACCAGTTGTCTCTAGGTGTTAGTTTTGCCGTCCTCAAGGCCCTAATCAGGAAGTCTACACCTCCCTACGCGGCTGGTTGGCCTAAAGTAACTGCTATGGATTTCATTGACTGGTGTCATGTTTTGGTTTGACCACCACTAGCTAACTCTTTTCCAACCTGATCCTATTTCAGCATACATTTCCTGTCTACGGAGGCAATGGCTAGACTAGATATGAGTAACTAATGTCGCAACCACCTCAATCGATGTAACTTCGAAACCACATCGATTGATTCCCTCTCCTTACATAGCACTTGACGCCCAACCTCAATATTACTTACTTTATTCTACCACTTAACACGGAAGATAGAATGCAGACACATATAGTCGAATACAGCTAACCTTTTCATGTCTTCCATTTTCAATGGCCATGTCTCACAGCCATAAAGGAGCACAGACAGAACTGTGTTTGCAGTTGTTGTTACAGTCACTTTGGAATACGTTCTGTAGCCCTAACCTCTAGAGACCGATAGGTCCTCCCTATGTACGCGTGTTCACACATACATGTAAGTGGGTAAACACAATGAGATGTGACACTATCATTTGGAGGCTGTAAGGGTTTACAGGACAACACAGATCTCCTTTTCTCTACGAAAATAAATTTGGCTGCATCGTAAGTTATATGAATTGTCATCCTGAGCCTTTGTTTAGTGATCAGACTTTGTTGATCATCCCTGAAGAGGAAGGATATATAAACATTCTTCTTTGGAGCTGTTTGGATCGATAGCGCTGTTTGTTTGACACTTGTGTAATGGATAGTTGTTATGTGACAATATTTCAGTGAGGTTTTGCGTTTCTTCCTCAGTGGTGTCGGGTGTACACCACTGTCTTCTATATAAATCTGTATAATAAGTACGTGTGCTTTTGATCAGAATGTCCGAAAGGTGTTGTGCAAATACACATTACACGTTTTAGATAAACTATGTCTTCTTCTTATTTTGGTTGAAATTCATAAAGAGAATTACGTACTCGAAATAGCTGACCTGAACAGACTCACCACTCTGAGCTGAGTTGAACTAAGTACACCGCTGATAGGCTCAGTCATACTCGAGCGAAACAGCCATCTTCTGGTATTCAGATTACTTCAATCCAGCTTGCAAGTGCGACTACTTATTTCAGTCATTCAGTAGTATACAATTTTAGACAAAGCAATAAGAAGACGTAATTTATTTGAATCGTCTTTTGTGTATATGCGTGAAACACGCACTTCGAACAATCTGATCACACACACGGACTTGTCATAGGAATATGTATATATGAAATTAATAAAGAGTTAAGAGGTGAGAAAATAGACAAGTTAGGTCAAGATAAATTGACATATTGAAGGTGAAAATAACAGCTGGAGATCACTAAACCAAATAGCAGAGGTAATAGTACATCTACCCAGCCTGGTATCAAAACAAAGTTTACCAAGGAAGGTTTAGTGTGATGACGTGTTGCTGTTTTGATCTCATAAAGTTGGTTTAAACTTCCCAATTGCCAGCCGGGGCTTCCACAAACTTTAGGATACGCCTCCCCCTAAACATGTTTTATAGATAGGTTTAAAAGATGTGTAAACGTCAATTTTATGTCCTGTCTCTATAATATGTTTCGCAATAGAGGAGCTAGGTCTCTTGTTCTCACCATTAATGAGCTCTGGGGATTCTATTTGCTTATCGATGTCTTGGTGGGCCACTAAAATGATCTATTTGTAGAAAACCTACCTGGACAGGACAGGACAGTATCTTAATTATCACAGTCCCTGTCCTGTTAGGTATAAAATACTCTTGGGGAGTGAGGTGCCTCTTCAGTAGAATCCAACGAATATGCACTGAAGACACACTTGATGAAGAAGAAGGAAAGTTGACACAAACTCTGGTTTATAATAATTATCCAGACAAGTTCATTAGGAGATATAAAGTAGTCAGAACACCAAGACCCACTCTACAACTCTAAGAAAGACGTGCACATCAAGCTACTCTATATGGGAGATCATAGCAGCTTGATTACTAGACAAAGATTGAACACTGCTGTTAAAAAACAGACTTTTCATACAGCTAAGATCAGAATAATTGAGAATGTGAAGCCGATATATCCATCCATCTAAGCCCTTCGAACATGCGAACATTATTTCACATCCCACTATACTTGCCAATTTGAATGTACATGAGGACACACATACATGGGGAGGACTCATCGATCTCTGCAAGTAAGGGCTGGCTTCAGAGCATATTCCTAAATGGCTCCAGAAGCAAATAGAATCTTCAGAACCCATTACTGGTGAGAATAGGAGACCTAGCTCCTCTATTGCGAAACATATTATAGACACAGGACACAAAATTGACGTTTACACACCTTTTAAACCTATCTATAAAACGTATTTAGAGGAGGGTATCCTAAATTTTGTAGAAGCCATGGCTGGCAATTAGAAAGTTTAAATCACTTTTATGCGTCCAAAGAAACAATTCGTCATCACACTAAACCACCTTCTTTGGTAAACTTTGTTTTGATATCAGTCAGGGTAGATGTACTATTACCTCTGTTATTTGGTATAGTGATCTTCATTGTTATTTTGACCTTCAATATGTCCTTTTAACTTGACCTAACTCTTAACTCTTTGATAATTTCATACATATACAATCCTATGACAAGTCCGTGTGTATGATCAGATTGTTCGAAATAAGTGTTGCGCGAACACAGCATTACACGATTCAGACAAATTACGTCTTCTTATTGCTTTGTCTAAATTTATAAAGGGAACTAATTGTTTCAAAGTATATAATTTTATCTCTCTATTTATTGATACGATTTATTCTTTCTTCTTTCTTTCTCTCAGAGCACACAGTAAAATTCACCGTGGTCTACGTGAAGCATGTTTAGCTCTGGGGATTGTTTTTACAACGATCACGCTAATTTGTATTGAACTACTGCGTATCATTACATTGACGATTGTGAAACCATTTTTACAATTTCTACGCTTTTTATCCCATTTAATTATTAATTATTTCTGTGATATTAGTTATATACTGAGTGCACATTGGGAGCGATTTATTCATCCAATCATTAATTCATGGGCTGCCTATTCACAAGATGTTGTTGTCCCTGTGATACGTGAATTTCGTCCAATACACATCATAGTACAACAACAACATCACCACCATCAACAGCAGCAGCAACACCAGCAGCAGCAACTGCCGACTTATTCAGACAAAGTGATACAACAGTGTTGAGTACAGATCGGTGGGCGGTGGGGGCGATAGTCACCCTCATCATCGCTATCATCATCATGAGATTTCCTTCTGTTTCTGCGAATTGCTTTTAGATTTCTTTTTTTCTTCTGGACGCTGTTTATTGGTTCTCATTTTTTGATGTGTGTGTGAGATGGTAACTCTTTTTGCTGCTTCTTAGCTCAAACAATTTCTATGAATAAAGATTATACTAGGCTGCTTTAATAAAAAGTACGTTCACATTCACCTCCTTCTTTGTTTTATTTGCTAATAAAAGCATTCTAAGATTGAGAAGAAGTTACGATTTTGTAACTCGTAACTTCCAAGTTCGACCTTGGATTAGTGATATCTATCAGTTGGCGAAGGGTTGAAAACCAGCGCAAGGAGTACTGATCAGCACAGCTATTACGTTCTAGTTTAGACCCCTCATTGGTACGCAACTACTGGGTGTCAATCCGATGGTGCATGGATTCTAACTTCTACAAATTCGTGACCTTCTAGCGTGACTGACACCAGCCACTGTCGAATGCTAGGTAAGGAGGAGAAATCAATCGACGAGGCTATGAAGTTACACCGATTGAGATGGTTGGGACATGTGTTACGTATGCCTAGTCAGCGCCTTCCTCGATGGGCAATGTTAGCTGACATAGGGCCAGGCTGGAAAAGAGCTAGCGGCGGTCAAACCAAAACATGGCACCAGTCAATGAAATTTACAACAGTTAGTTTAAGCCACGTAGGAAGGTGTAGACTTACTGGTTGGGGTCCTCAGGATGGTAAAAACGAATGGTTGGAAACAATTGGTGATAGAGCTCAAAATCGTTCTCAATGGCTGGCGCAGATGCATCCACTCCTTGTGACTTATGATTTCCAATGAAACTGTTTTGTTCTTCGTTATTACTACTCCTTTGTCTCACACCTCTGTTTACTGTCTCTATTATACATTTCTTCTACTTTCTTCTCTTGCTTTGTGTGCTGTATGGAGTGAGTGTGGCGATTTGAAATGCTGCACATCGGTGCAAAGTTCTATGTCGAAAACAAACAGACAGCCACTGTCATCGGCGGTGAGTATTTGTTATACCTCTTGAACTGCTGGTGCACCTTACTAGTCATGACTTCTCACTAGAACTCCAAGCAAATTCGTCCTGCAGACAGTCACTAACTAGCATCAGATTAATTTTTCAATTTTGGTCACTGATTAATGTCAGGACGAAGTTGTTTGCAGTGGGGTCAGTCCATTAAGTAGGGCGTGATGACAATATTCGCCGATGACATTGGCCGGTGACAGTCGCTCTAAAAATTCACGAATTGGTAAAATTTGGAATTCATGGGGTTACCAGTGAATCGGCTCCTAGTAGCTGCATGAATGGTCTGCGAGCTCGCTTTCTAATCAGAGGCCCTCGGTTCAAAACCCAGTGAGAGCGTACTGCCAATGAGTCCTAAACTGGGGAGCAACAGCTGTCCAGTAATCTCTGCTATGATTTTCAATGTTTCTCTAACTGATATCATTAATCCGTGATCAAATTGAAAATTAATTTTCATCGATTGCTGGAATGCTGGAGTGTTTGTCAGCCATCTACGTGGTCTGGGTGCGATCCTTGGCAGGTAGATAGATACATTCCTGAACCTCATTTCGGTTTACTAATGGACACTAAGATCAGACAAAAGGGAAGGTTAGACGGGATGTTAACAACCGAACCCTTTTTAAAATCATAATGCCGCCGCTACTTAAACCCTCAAAAGCCTGACGTCTTATGTTCCACTCAGAATGTAACGAGTCAAGCTAATGAAGAACGAGTGAGTCATTGCTGTTAGTGTTTTTAGTGAGGTTTTGAAGGTGTAGTGCACTTCATGTTCTTAACTCTTAAGTTCAATCAGATGCGACACTTTCGTACTTTAGTCTGGAAGCTAAAACACAGAGCTTTTAGCTTACAGCTTGACAGTCAAGTGAAACAGGATTTTCAAATGTCGGTTCTCAGGGATTTGATTGGTTGCAATAATGATCACGGATCGACATCGGTTAGAGAGCCACTGAAACCTACCAGGGAACACAGGATAGCTGTTTAATCTGAGTTCTGGGCTACTCTTCATCAGTACGGATCCGTTGGGTTTCTAACCGAGGACCTTCCGGTTACAAGGCTAGATCGTTGACCATTCAGCTACTGGAAACCTCTCCAATGACCAACAGATTTCAACTCCTACAAATTCACGATATTTAGCCCAAACACTAGCCAATATCATCCAGTTAATAAATCCCTGCAAACCAACAGCTAACAATTAATCTGATGCACATCAGCAGCTGGATCCATGCAAGAGGTTACCTGGAGTCCTAGTCGAACTTCATGACCAATAGGGTACACCAAGTCAGGTAACAGGACAGTTACTCACCGATGACAGTGCCTGACGGTTGTGTTATATATCGCGAATTGGCAGAAGCTGGAATATATGGACTGGCCATTGAATCGGGTCTTATTGGCTAGTTACTGGAAGGTACTGGGTTCGAATCCTCATCGAATGCATGCAGCTGTCCATTGCTACCTTGTTTACAATGGTTCTTTAACTGATGTCAGCTGGTAATGAAATCTTCGATTCGCCTATCTTTTCTCTGAACTTGGAAGAGATTGGAGAATTCGCTTAAGTAGAAAGATATAGTAACTTTGGTAAATTGAGTCAGCAACTTTAGGCCACTGTAATAGCGTGCATCACTGATATGCTTTACCTTCAAAAAAGCAGAATTATAACCCAGTGTTTAGGCGAACAGCTCTTACTAATTGATATGATTGCTTTTCTACTACTCATATCAGCTAGTCAGTAGTATATACCATGAGTTAACATTTCCAGGTGTTTAAATCGAATTGCCATAGTTACAGGGTTGCATCATGAGCTACCTACCTGAATAGGGCCAGTCGCTGGTGATCATGCGATTGATATTCAAGTTTGGCTGGTTGGGAAGGTGCTGGCTTCGAACCCTCGTGGTGGGTGCGTACTGACGAGGAGTCCTAAACTAGGGCGAAACAGCAGTCCCTGTTGGTTTTCCAGTGGTTCTCTAACGGATATCACCTCATGATGAAATCCTATAACCAATCGAATCCCTACAAACCAATACTTGAACTGCCATGGTTTGTGTTATTTAGAGTATTCTCCAATTTTATTAGTTATGCTTGATACATGTATGCTGATTATTAGTATTCTATGTTGATTCTTTTATTTAGTCACAATAGTAAACGTTCTCAAGCTTGGAAAACTAAGTTTCAAGAAAAGAAAAAAAAGATGACTAACTGATATAGCTAGCGCACCAGGAGCAGCTGAACCAAATCTCAACATCTGTATTTCTTCAAACATCTTATCTCTGTTACTGACATTTGAAAAGTCGAAGAATTCTTCGTTGCTATTCCTTTCTGGTCGGCCAGCTTATCTTCAGGATGAAGAGAAAGAAGCAATCGTCAATAAAGGTCCGAAACCTGTTTTAAGAATGATTTTCATGACAAACGCGAGAGTCCCCTGAGTATCTGAAGGTAATGAAAGCACTGACCAACTTGAAATTATTGTTGAAAATCTAAATATTCAAGTATTGGTTTTTTAGGGATTTTTGGTTTGATTGGTTGGAGGATTTCATCATGAGCTGACATCAGTTAGAGAACCATTAGAAAAACCCAACAGGGAGTGCTAGAGAGCTGTTTTGTCAGCCTAGCTCGGGACTCTTCAGGAGTATGCACCCACCGACAGGGTTCGAATCCAGGACCTTCTGGTTACAAGACAACCTGGCTCGTAGACCGTTAAGCCACTGGGACCCGACCAAGTGGCCAGTCCATGAATTCCAACTTTTGCCAATTCATGATGTGGCGCGACTACTAGCCAATGTCATCAACGTTGAGTATCTGTCCGCACACCTGACCTTCTGTATCTTGCTGGTTGCGAATTCATACTAGAACCCACCGAAGTAACTACCTACTTGAATAAGGCCAGTCGTTAGTGATCACCTCATTGATATTCAAGTAATGGTTTGTAGGGAATTGATTAATTGGTTACAGGATTTCATCATGAGACGACCGTCAGGTTTTCCAATGGTTCTCTAACCGATGTCACCTCATGATGAAATTCTGTAACCAATTAATCGAATCTCTACAAACCAATACTTGAATATTAGAAATTAATCTGATTCTCGTTAGTGACTTGCTACAGAACGGGGTTACCTGGAGTTCTAATGAGAAGTCATGACCAGTGAGCTGCATCCAGTCAAGTGTGAGTATGGAAGTCCCACCGATGAAATAGGTTGGTGCCAGTCGTGCTAAATCCCGAATTGGTAGAAGTTCGAATTCATGGGATGGACATTGAATCGGGTCCCAGTGTCTGCTGAATGGTCTCCTGAGAGCTTGCCTTATAACTGGAATGTCCTGCGTTGGAACCCTGTCGATGAGTGCGTACTGCCGATGAGTCCCTAACTAGTGGGATGAAATAGCTATCCAGTACTTTCTAGCTGATTTCAATGGTTATCTAACTGATATCAATCCGTGATCAGCTCGTAGAAAAATATATATCATAGAAAGATAAACAAAAACATACAGAAAGGAAAACAGATTCGAAAATACACTAAAAAAAGTAAAATGAATAATAACGTACAACAATAACAACACAGAAGAAAACATTTCCACCGACATGGGAATTGATTAAATAACTAACTGTAAATGTAGAATCAGTGACTGTTATTATACAGTAATACTCTTTCCATCAGCAAGCAAAATGTAATACACATAAAAGCACCGAAAACACCATGAAATCACTCATAGATCTATCTGAAGATTAGTCACTATAAGTCAATATCATTTATATAAATGCATCCTTCTTGAATTCATGCATACACAGACAGGCAGATAGACAGACAGACAG